TCTTATCTCCCTTCCTGTGCTTGTGGATGATAGTACAGTGCCAAGTTGAGTTCCCTGCTGACAGCAGTGCTTGTGCTGGGAGCAGGCTGGAGGCTGGGAAGTCAGGCCAGGCAGCAGACTTACACTGTGTGTAGTAAGCATTTCACAGATGATGTTATATATTAACATTTTTAGCTCATGTTCTAGGTAGCCACCAATAGGCAGTCTTGTGTTGGTGAATTTGCACTTTTAGAACTAGATCATATTCTTGACATTTTTATTACATCATCAAGTGAGTTGGCTCTACCTCCCTCTCTCAAAGGTCCCAAAAGACCATCTTATGTCACTACAATATTCTGGCAGCAGAGACTATAAGCTAGAAGTTCTCGATTGGGGAAAATTTGCAACTCCTTATTCAGGGATATATACCACATCTGGAGACATTTCCAATTGTTAGAAGTGGAAGACGCTACTAGAATTTACCCCTTAGAAGCTAACAAAGCCTCATTCTGCAATGCCCAGGACAGCTCCCTGCAACAAAGATGTAGCTAACCCAGAAGGTCAATAGTGCTGAATTTGTGAAATCCTGTTTGGAATTCATAATTTTATGGACTCTGAAAAGGCAACACAATTTGATTTTTTTAAAAAGCCTAAGAACATGGAGTTCTGGATTCTAGTTCTAGTTTTGTCAACTGCAAATTGTGCTCCAGAGCATACAAATCCCTTTGCTTTTTAGTCAACTGTCATTTAACTTACTCCTTTAGCCACTTTGTTTCTATGCATATTACTTCTGGGGCTTCACTGTCCAATACAATCATCATTAGCCACACGTGGCTACTTAAAAAATCCTAAAAATTCATTTTGCAAGCCATATTTCAGTGGTACAATGGCTACTTATGGCTAGTGCCAGAAATATTGAACCTCATAGATGTGGAATATTTGTAACATTGCAGAAAGTTTTGTTTGATGGTGCTGTTGAACAGGGGTAGACAAATGCAGAGTCACACCTTCGCTTATTTACATGTTTTAAAGGGGGGGGGCATTACAGTGAGACCCTATCCAAAAAAATGAGGTCAGGCCTTTCCCCAACATACAGGTCTTTGTCTCTGGAGCCCACCACAATGAGGCACCCTCTGGAGCCTCTGTTACCTGGTGATCCCAGGTGCTGGTAGATCCCAGTGAGGACAATGGACATGATCCCAGAAGCCAAGAAATGGGACTTTTTACATTCAGAGATTTGGACATTGATTTGTCCAATTCCTAGAGGACTAGGAATACCTGGATCCTGCTAAGCAGAATTTGTATAGGGATGTGATGTTAGAGAATATTGCCTAAAAAATAAACCTAAGAGAAGGAAAAGAAAGTCAAATGGCTGCTTCTCAGCAGCTGGGAGAACAAGAGCACCCAGTCTGTTAGCTTGTCACAAGGCCTGGCCCAAACCACAAGGCTGGCCTCTTTGCACAGGGTTATGGCACCAAGCATGAGGGGAACCCAGCTGTTTCTGGGGTAAATGGCTATGACCACCTGGTGGTCTATGTTTTAATCCATCCTGTTAAACCCATAAAAGTTCACTACTTTGTTCTGGAAGCAGCCTGATCTCCCTTTTTGTTGTGATCATTGCTTGCTCCCTTTCCCTGAAACACTTTTCTCACCACCTGCCCCACTTAGAGCCTTGCTTGGGTATTTACGTATTTAAAAAAAAAGGATAACGAATTCCATGACCTCTATAGTGATATCCAGTTCTTTAGATCTGGTCCTAAAGACACATGGTGATTTGCTTTCATAAAAGAAGCTGTACTGTAAACAGGTGGCTAAGTAGTTTTGGTAACACCCACATTCCAATCACTGTAGTCACAATCAGAGTGTTTTCCTGCCCTGCCTGGTACTGCAGTTTAGACAGCTGTATGGTACCCACTAAAAAGAAACAGACAATGCTTCCAATGTCCAGAGGCTTCGAAGATGCTGTTTTATCAAGAAATAAAAAGCTGGACAAATAAAAACCAAAAAAAGGTCATTTTTAGGTCCTTAAGAGAAGTGAGATCAGGGTTGGGGATTTAGCTCAGCAGCATAAGCGCCTGCTTAGCAAGCACAAGGTTGTGAGTTCAATCCCTGGTTCTACAAAATAAATAAATAAATAAATAAATAAAATACACAAACCACTTAAAAAAAAAAGAGAGAAGTGAGATCACTTTTGGGAGGGAGAAAGTGCAGCAAAACACAGAGAATACAACTCACCAAAGCAGAAACCTCCACAGCAACTCTGGCTAGGGTGGGAAAACCTGATCCACAATTTACTTAAAGGGAAAGCAAAGAGACAAATTTAATAAAATGAATCAGAACATCCAAGAATAATGGAGTAAACAGAATAGTGTCATATGTGTAATAGGAGTTCTAGAGGGAGCAGAGAGAAGCAGAAGCAATGACTGGGAATCTCCTCAAATTGATGACAGATACTCAACCACTGTCTAAGAGGCTCAGAGAAGAGAGACAGGATTTAAGAAAGGGGCATACAGCTTCCCTCCTTCCCCCTTTTTTCTGTCTCTGTCTCTCTTTTTCATATTTCAATTGAACCCATGCTAGAAAGCATTCTACAGCCTATAATCTTTTTAGTTTTTTTTTTAATTTTTGAGATAGAGAGTCTCATTAAATTTGCTAGGCTTGCCTCCAATTGGTGATTCTTCTGCCTCAGCCTCCCAAAATGCTGGTATTATAGGTGTGTACCACTGCACCAGGTGGAAAAGAGATTTTAAAACAGGAAAAACATTCTATGTTTCCAGCTCTGTCCAAGAGGAACCGCATTATATAGAATTAGCAGAATGTTTCAGTTGCCCTTAGTGGAAATGGTATATTCAGACTATTATACAAGACGCCACTCCCCAGTAAGTTAATCTAATTAGTTTTAGTTGTTCTGAATTATGATGAAAGGAAACCCTAAAAATGTTTTATTTCCTTAACTAATTCTATCAGGAGATAATGCTCTGATGAAAAGATATGAGCATTTCAGTTGCTTTGGCAGGTGCATTATATTGTCAATTAATTTAGTGACATTCTAAGGTTCTGTGATGTAAACTGAATTGTTGAGGGGAACTGAAATTCATAATCCTGCCATTAGGTGAGATGCTGAGCTGCTGTGGACTCAGGCAAGATAATTTACATTAATGTGGAGGTCTTTTGTTATGAAAATCAGATCAGAAATCTTTGTCTTTTTGAGACAGGGTCTTGCTATGCAGTTCAGGCTGGCCATGTGAGCTCACTTTATAGCCCAGGCTGGTCTTGAACTTGCAAGGATCCTCCTGCCTCAGCCTCTTGAGTGCTGGGATTACAGGAGTGCACCACCATACACAGCTTTTAGAAATATGCTTTTGATATAATAGCCCAGGATTTATAGAAGACACAGTTTTAAGGTCACAGTTTTAAGAAAGTGTGTTCTTAGGTTTCTATGTTTTTTCCTGCATGCTGAGGTTACTGCTTTGAGTCTTGTGTCATCTTGAAGTCACCTTGAGTTGCTCAAAGTGCAGCTATGATTCTCTCACTTGATTTCTCACTTTAAAGCACTGGCAACAACTGGTGATTGGTATTTGCTTCCTGGCTAACATCCAAACTTAGGTTTTAAAGGGGAAGATTATTTTTAAGACTTAACTAACATTTATCTCAATAACATCCCAAGGCAAAGACTGATGCTTATTTTGTGCACGGATGAGCAAGCCAAACCCTAGTCATAGCCTGTAGCTTTCCTCATCCAAGGCAGGCCAAATGGGTGGCTCTGCAGTTTACTACCTAAGCTGTGCCAAACACCTGGAGTTGTGTCTTTGTATTCCAATGCTTAAATGGTCCCCTTCTCTATCAAAATTGAGAAAGTCAAAGACATACCCAGCATTAAATCATTGCCCATCATTTATATCATTTCCTCTTCAAAAGAGAACAAATGTGTATCATCTAAGGAGATGTACGAGGTGACTGCAGCTGACTGAGGACAGTCACGGCTAAGCTACAGTAACCCTTTGGAGATGGCAAAACTTCAACAACATGCGAGTTTTTGTTTTTTGGGATGGAGTTTTGCAAGCCCTCTTGTGAAGTTTTGACACGTTGAGTTAATCTGCCTGCTAGACAACCAACGAGAAACAGTGAATGTAAACTGTGTCTTCCGTGTAAAACAGCGAAAGCATAATCCGCAAGCAATTACTGTCAAGTCTGTCGTGGCGGAGTGAAAGCAGCTATTGACAACAGGAAAGCAACGGGCATGGCTGTGTTCCAATAAACATGTCCCACATTGAAACTTGAATTTCGTCGGATATTCATGTGTCAAAAATCCTTAAATTTTTTGGAAAGTTTTTGATTTCTGTTGTTTCGAGTAGTATGGTTTGTGCAGCCTAACCATTCAGTCTCTAGCTTTTTACAGGAAGTCTGAAGAATTGTTACAGCTGAAACGAAACAGGGCATCGGTTCAGCGGTGCCTGAGGCAGCGGCTTCATCTCGTCACTTTTTGGCTCGCGCGCGGGGACTGTACCATGGCCCTCTAACAATCTGGGGTAGGAACTCGGGCTCAAAAACTGAGCTAACGTATTTTTCCTCCCCTTAACAAAACCGAACCCTCTGAAAGTTGTAAATCCAGGCTGGTAGCAAAGCCGTCTGCTTTTGGTTTCTTTCTCTGAAAAAGCGAAACCCCTTCGACGTCGGCCGTGGTGGGAAGAAAAACCCTTTGCACTTGACAGAGACACACTACGAGGCACAAACACGATTCAGGAAAAGGATTTTTTTCCTTAGGGTTGTGGTATCTTCGCTACAAATTCGTCGGCCCAACCCCATAAAGAAATCAAAGCTAAGTCCCCTAGCTGTCACCAGCGGAGTCCTCTCCCTCAGCTGGCTCGCGGAAATGACGCCATCAGCCTAAGACTCCCCCACAGGTTTCCACGGGGGCGGGGCAGGGCGCTGACGCCCCTACTCGGGGCCCTGGCACCGACTGCGGCTGCGCAGGCATGCTGGGCGGGGCCTTAGTTCACCCCGCCCCATAGGGGCCTGCGCCACTATGGCCGTGCGGACGCCTGGGGGCGGGGTAATACCTGAGCGGCTGTAATGATTGGCCGAGGTGGCGCCCGTTCCCCCCAACCCCGCGCCTCCCACCCGCGGGTGTGACCCGGGATGAAGCTGGGGTAGGGACTAGGGCGCAAGTACTACGGCGGCCTGTGAACTGAGCTAGCGGTGAGGGGCGCGGCAGCGGGATAGGGGCCGCGTAGCGCGGTCCGGGAGCCCCTATGCGTGAGGCACTGGGCGGAGCGCTGTCTAGCGAGGGTCATCGGAGGGGCGAGGCTCTGTCCTGGCTTCAGCCCGGGCGGCCTGGGCGGCGGGGTCCTGGGTCGGCGGGGTCCTGGGTCGGGGTCGCACCGCGTCGCGCGGCCGCAGTTCTAAGGCTTCTGGTCAGCCTGGAGCCTCCTCAGTGTGCCTGCACTGGAGTGTTCCGGGACGCGGGGAGGGCATTTAAAGCTCCTGCAGCGCTTGGAGGCTTTCCCGGGCGCTGCCCTGTTTCTCGTTGGAGGGAGACTGAGAGGGGCCGGGTGGACGCAGGGTCGCCCTCGCGAGCCGCGTAGTCAGACTGAAATTTCCTCTTCCCCCCGCCTGTAATCGGCCGGCGTCCCCGCAGCTTTCCAGAAGCGGACTGGGAAACTCTGGGGTTGGGTGTGTTTGGGAGGTGTCATGGGAACGTCTGAGTGCAGACGACTCCTGGTCTTGATCCTCCATGAATGCAGCTAGGGTTGTGAGTAGGAACTCGGCTTTAGAGAGTGGTCCTGCACAGTTCTAGGGCTTGATACTGGTGTTAGCTATCGTGTTCCTCGCGATGTTTTCCTGAAACATAAGTTTCTGTGAAATCTAAGCAGTGTAAAAGTTGATCACCTTCATTGTGGCAAAGGGACGCGGATAAATAAGATGATCTCTAGTTTTTGATAAATCTGTATTGTTAAAATGTGACCCCCCCCTTTTTTTTTTGCACAAACTTTTGGGTATTTTTCTCTTTCACAGATTTAATTAATTGCCTAGCTATCAGTGATGAAGATGTGATGTGTTGGAATAACTGCTGAAACTGCCTTTTATTGACTAAAGACCGTCCGTTTGTTGCATTTATTTTTGCTTTCCCTACCACTTTGAGCTTTACTGTAACGGCTGACAAATCTGGAAAATAAAATGAACATACTGTGGTCTTGAATATAATTTTTTGAGAAAAATATTAAAGTGCCAGAGTGAAAACCAGAATGGCATCCAGAGAGAGGCTCTTTGAACTTTGGATGCTTTATTGTACAAAGGTAATCACTTTCCTTTTTGTTTCTTTTTTGAATACTCTATTATAAAACTTTGTGACTGACTTTATTCAATGAATGCTAGTATACTTATGCATACTAATAAGTCCAAATTTAAAAACACATAAGGAGTTTTTCGGATTTCAGTACATACACATATTGGCAGACTATTAAAAGTCATTGGGATGTGTTTTTATTCAATTCTTGAGTGATTTTAAAGTTAGATAAATAAAATTATGAGACAAATATTTTTGTTTATACTTCTCAACAAGTGGGAGCCGGATAAAGACATTTTGTGAGAAGGGCATTAAGCATTTTTTTCATAGTTGACCTTTTAAATTGTATAGAAAGGTTATTGACATACTTACTATGCGAGTGCCACTGTTGAACTTAATGCATAGTGTCTTATTTGATTTTCATGTGTCCTGAAGATATAATTATCGCCTTTTACTGATGAGAAAACTGATTCTTCAAGGTCATAAAATTGTTTTTATCATTTAGAAATAATTTTCTCTTCATGTGAATTTTTAGGTCGTAGCTTTGCTTTTAGGTTATTGGGAAGTGTTTAAAACATGTTTTTCAAGTGTGGAACTGTATTACTACTTTCAGGACGATGGTCAGGGTCAGAGAAATATAGCTAATCTATTTGAGTGGAGGTGATAAAGTTCTCATGGTAGGTTCCTTTTACAGTCTTTCAGGTGTTTAAACAGTGAATGTTTCTTAAACAGTGATCTCATTTATCTGTAACGTTAAATTTTAGAGAAATTTTAACTTCCTGGTTTGATAGGTGTTATAATTACTGAAGTATGTACACCTGATGTACACCTTGTTTAATGTGAATTTTTCTTTCTTTTTTTTTTTTGGTACTGGGGATCCAACTCTCAACCTTACGCTTGCCTGGTAGGCGTTTATGCCACTGAGCTAAAAATCCCCAGCCCTAATATGAATTTTAAAAATAGCTTTTAGGCTTGTGTAATTTATTTATTTACTAATTTTTTCTAGAAGGAAAAAGGGATGACTGGAGTCTTGTGTAATTTAATGCCGGAAATACCTTTTAAAAAATAAGCCATTCTTCCAACAAAAAGAACTTTTTTGAATAGTCATTAATACATGTTAGCCAAAAGTTAAAATGAAATATTAGTGTGACTTGCCAGTAATTTGAAAACAATTTTTGTTTTCTTGTGTATTTTGACAGAGGATTTTACTATGTAGCCCAGGATGGCCTTAAACTCACAGCTATTCTTCTGCCTCAACCTCCCTAGTGCTAGGATTACAGGAATGTGCCGTCACACCTGGCTGTAAACAATTTATATATTAAAACATTTGTACATTACACTTACTAAATTTCATTTTTTTTTTTTTTTTTTTTTTACTGGTACCGGGGATCCAACTCACAACCACGTGCTTGCAAGGCAGGTGCTTATACTGCTGAGCTAAATCCCCAGCCCCTAAATTTCATTATTTTCATATAGACAAAAGGTGAATGAGCTTCACTGTTTTATTGATTACTTGTGATAATTGTAGGTAGATTTAGTATTTAAGTGATTCTGTTCTTACTGAAAAGATAATATTGTTTACTGGCATACACTCAATTTTACTACTAACTTTTTTGAGACAGTGTCTTGCTGTCTGGCCTGGAACTCAGAATCTTTTACCTCAGCCTCTTGAGTGCTAGAATTAAAGGAATGTACCATCATGCTGGGTACATTCAATGACTTTCAATGTAAATGTGAATCCTTACTCTCTTTTGAGATACCTATCCTTGATAATGAAGTTTTTAGTAATCATTGTCTTTTTTATTTATTGCTGTACTAGGACTTGAACTCAGGGTCTCAAATGTGCTAGGAAAGTGCTCTGTTGCTGAGGTAATCTATCTCCATGCTATAACCATATTTTATAGTCTATCTCCGTCTTGGACAGAAAGATAAATCTCATTTTTATGTTTAAGATTAAATTATTTGTGTATTTTTTGGGGAGGGTACTGGCATAAAACTCATGACCATACGCTTGCCAGGTATGTGCTTATGCCACTAAGCTGTTAACACTGACCCCTCATTTGTGTATTCAACGACTTAATTTCTAAAATTGTTTTTAAAGTATAGTTAACTTGTAACTACGATTTTATATTTCATTGTTTTATGGATAATGTACCTGTTAGATAATTTTTTCTACCACAGACCTCTTGATTCAGATAGCTACCAAATATAATTCACAGATTTAACTTCTGATTGTCACATAGGTGTTCTCTGGTCTTACCAGCCTTACTGCCTTCCACTCTAACAGTTAACCCTACAAAGCTGCCTCACTCCCCCGCCTTGACAAGCTTATGGGGTTTTTTTTACCCTTTATTTCCCTTTCTAGTACTGAGGAATGAACCCAGGACATTCCTGTTAAGCTACATCCCATCTCTTTATTGTTAATTTCATTTTGAGGTAGATAGCCTTTCTGAGCTGCCAACATGCCCAGTTTTACCCTCCTACCTCAGTCTTCCAGAGTGCTGGGATTACTGGCATGAATCACCATGCTCAGCTTTTTTTTTCTTTTTAAAATACGTTTGATGGGTTTTCAGATGATTTGGGACTGCTTAGATGTATTTTGTTTTTGAGGTGCTGGGATTTGAACCCAGGACCTTACATTTGCTAAGTAGGTGCTCTACAGCTGAACACCTGGAGTTCCTGTTTAGCTCTTACAAAAATGTTTCTACAATTTATTTTATTTCTTTTTAATACCAAGGATTGAATATTGCACCCCGTGAGCTTTCTCACTGAACTGTTTCCCCAGTGTTAAAAAACAGTTTTGATAGGGTCTCACTAATTTGCCAAGAGTAGACTCAAACTTGGTGGCAGTTTTCCTGCCTCAGCCTCTTTAAGTACTTGAGATTGTAGGAATATTTCTGCCATGCTTTTTTTCTTTAAGGCAGTGTTTTGCTGTGTAGCCTAGTCTGACCTTTAATTTGCAGTCCTCTTGCCTCAGCCTCTGGAATGCTGGGATTACAACATGTTCTGCCATGCCTGCTGTGTGATTTAGTTCTAAGACCTTAGCAGTTTTTGTAGGCTTCTAAGTGTAAAATGTGAAAGTCTCTTGTTTTGTGACCTTGAACAAGGCTTACTTTTTTTTTTTAAAGGCTTCTTTGAGTCTCACTTTTCTCATTTGGTGATTGAGCCTGTACACAGGGAGAATGCTTGTTTTGACTCACCATTAAGGATTTTGTTTGTTTTGTCCACTGAGGGACAAGTAATTTTTTTTGTTTGACCTTATTATGTAATTGATATATAGAACCATTTAGCTCTTTTTTTTTTTAAGCTTTTGTTTTGGAAAATTTTAATCATCTGCAAAGTAGAGACAGTACAGTGAACTCTTGTTATCTAACACCTTACTTTAACAATGATTAATTCATATTCAATCATGTTTCATTTATAATCTTCCATTTCCCTTTCCTCTATTCCTGAATTATTGTAGAGCAGATTCGAATTTATGATCCCACTCAGATATTTAATGTGATTATAAGAACTCCTAGAAAGTCACATGATTTTTTAAAGTAAAATATTGCCACATTCACACTTCTGATAGTGCCATAATAATCTTGTTTTATCACTGTTTGACTCTACTGAAACAAAATTTACACATTTTTATTGACAGTATCTGTGAAATATTTTAATGTATAGATTCTCCTTCACCATATTTTTCTTTCTGTTGTTGAAGAAACTGGATTTTGCCCTTAGGGTTTTCTAGTCTGGTTTTGCTTATTCACTTTTTTTTATTTTACTTGATCTTGTTGTCTGGTGTCTATAAACTGGCAGATGTTGAGGCTTAAATAAATTGGATTTGAGCATGGGTGGTGGTGCACACCTGTAATGTCAATACTAGGGAGGTTGAAGCAGGATGATTGCTTAAAGTTCGAGACCAGCCCTAACTACATAATGAGATCCTGACTGGACCAAAAAAGAAAAGAAAAAAACTCAATACCTGAGATTTATTTTGGGTGTGGATGGCTAGGAAAATTCACAAATGTAGCAGTTACCAATGATTTTTTGCTTTCCTTAGGATTTTGCAAAACTCTTACTACAGTACTCAATTCTGTCGTTTTTTTCCATGTACTAGAATACACAGAGAAATATGCCCATCAGTCTTTGATGGCAGTTTTCTAAAGGGAAGGCAGGCAACATAATACTTGCTTCTTTTAATTTTCAGACTTGATTTACTTTTCAAGGTGACCAGTTTTTTTTTCTTTTTTGAGTATCAAGTTAAGAATTAAATTTTAAACAGTGTCTACTGTTCTGTCACTTTACCTGGCTTGTTCTCTTTATAATACTGTCTACATACCTGATTAAAGAAGACAACTTTGAAGACTTACTTAGGATGGTTTGCTTCAGAGAGTAAGGTCAAGGGGCCATCTATATTTGCCCCAAGTGCTCTGCCAACATTAAGTTCTTAATGTATTTTAATATAATGTTTTTGAAAGTTGCAGTTGACCATTATAAAAGTTTAATAGGTGTAGGTAGCAAAATTATCCCAGAAATAGCAGTTGGATAATCCTGTTTTGTCAAAAGGATGCTAATGGAATATATGTCTCCTGCCTGTTGGGTTGGGTTCTGTTGCAAGCCTAACTACTAGTAATTAAAGTTCTTTAAATAGAATTTAAATGAATTACTAGTTTCAGTTTTTAGCAGATGGATCCTTATATACTAAACTCAACATTTTAAAAGAATAAAAGATTAGCACAGGCTCTGTGCTCATTTTGCAGCACTGAAAAAAAATTATTCATTTATTTTTGTTTGTTTGTTTATTTATTAATTTTTTGGTACTGGGGATCAAACTCATGACCCTGTGCTTACCAAGCAAATGCTAGAACCTCTGAGCTAAATCCCCAGCCCCATGGAAAAAAAAATTAAAAAGAATTTGAGTAAAAGTTTTGCTGTTTTTTTAGGTATGGAATCTAGGCCCTTTATATTGAGTTTCATTCATCTTCAGCCCTTTAATTTTTTTTCCTTTGGGACAAAGTCTTG